CTTTTTTTTTGTTGTTGTTGTTGTTGTCCTTTTCTTTTCTTTTTCCTGTTCATATGTTAACTTACACAGGGCGCATGGCGGGTTAGAGGCGTTTTGTTACAGTTGACACAGATACAGCTGATACAGAGAGAGCAAAGAGGGGCATGGGATGAGGGATGGAATTTTTATTTTTATTTTCTTTTCTTGAGACTGTTCCTCGATAAGTGTAGAAGGCTTCCCCTGATATAGGGGGGCGGCAGTATTGTTTGTTCTGAACGCCCCTCCTAACATATATGGCGTGATGTAAGCCGGCGCACCTGAGTCCCGTGTTACCGGCATAAATTGCGGGACGAGATGCAGCAGCCAAACGTCTTTATTGGGCTCGTGAAGCTCCCCCAGCCGAATCGGCTGTCAGGGCACGTACCTTCGCGTCTCCTCGCTCTTATCTTATCTACGCGACCCGCGCAGGCCAGTAGTGACGTATCAGAACGCTTGGTTTTCGGCTTGGCCCCACTTCGATCCTCCACAACCGGCCAATCCCAAGCCGCACGGTTGCTGGCAGCCCAGCGTCAGTGCTGGAGTCGCTGCTGTGGATAGAGTGCACCCTGGCTTGTCGCCCGTTTCGCCCGTGGCCGGCCGCGAGAAAGTAGGTGGAAAGGCAGTTTCCCGCCCTCGACTCTCGCCCATTTTTCTGCACCAGATACCACACACGCCGCTCCCCACGACATCCCCGCGTTCAAAGGCCTGGCGATATGGTTTTGCATCCCCATTAGGTCCCAGCATATTTTCTGTCGGCCGACTGCCGCCGTATCACTTGCACAAACTCGACTTTTTTTTTTCTCCCTTCCCCCCCCCCGGTGTCTTCGACGTCCACTCTCCCACGCTTCCGTTCTTCTTTTCTTACTTCCTGACTTCGTTCCACATCCCACACACGGCCCCTGCTCCTCTCAGTCCGACGCCAGCTCCCATCGTCGTGTCTCGGAACGTGCGCACTGCGGCCATTGACCATGAAGACAGCAAAGCCGCCGGCGCCCGAACCCTCGACGACGAGCACCGCCGCCGCCGCCGCCGCTGCTGGCTCCTCGACGACCACGACCAGTCGCAGGGCCCAGCCGGTGCGCCAGACGCGAATCAACCCCCAGCGGTCCGCCACGCTCAATCGCTCTAACAACCCACTGTCTAGCAGCAACGCGCCTGCCCCTGAGCAGCCCATCAACATCCTGCCCGGCGTCACCCACTTCGCCGACGCCATCTCGGCCCTGCCCCGAGAGCTTGTCCGCCACTTCACCCTGCTCAAAGAGGTCGACGCCAAGATATTCGCGCCCGAAGAGACGCTCTTTCAGCTGCTTGATGATGCTCTGAACACCCCCGTGCCGGATATCCCCCGGCAGCAGAACACTGATGCCTCGAACAGTGCCGTCGCCAATGCCCATCGACATGCTAACGCCTCCATCTTCGGGCTGTTCCAGCCGCCGCCGATGGACCCGCCCGAGGTGTTCGACCCCGCGAACCTGCCGCGCCGCAAGCTGTTCCACGAGACGGCCATGAAGATCCAGGAGCTGCTGGTGTCGCTCGAGGAGAAGAACCACGTCATCGCCACGGCCAACGACGTACTCAACAAGCAGCTGGCGCGCATCGAGGAGATTTGGCCACACCTTGAGGCCGAGTTCAGCGACGAGGCCAAGTGGGGGAGCACCACCCACTGGGCCTACATCGACAACCGCCAGCAGCAGAAGGCCAACGAGAAGCAGGCCGAGCGCTCTCGTCGCGATGGCGCCGCTGCCCTGTCTGCTGCCGCCGAGAAGCTTGCTGAAGACGCGGCTTCTCGCGGTAGTGGTAAGCAGGGTGCTGGCAAGAAGGGCGGCGCAAGCAAGAACGCGGGGAATGATGATACCGATAAGAATCAGGACTCGGCTGGGACGGGCAAGAAGGGCGCTGGAGCCAAGTCGCGCAAGCCCCTGCCTGACTCCCAGCCAGTTGGGCTCGGGATTAGCAACGCCGGGTCTGGAACCACGGCGTCCAAGCGCCGGAAGACTGAGAATGCCAAGTCTAATGGGGGAACTCCCACCGAGCGCGCCATGTCGACCGTCTACGGCAGTGGCGCGAAGCAGAGGACGACTAGCCCGCGCGAGACGCCCGCCCCGGAGGGAGGGACGGGCAAGAAGCGCAAGGCGCTGCCGACGGCGAGCAACCAGACGAAGAAGAGGTGAGTCTAACACATACACACACACACACACACAGAAACACACACTCTCTCTCTCTCTCTCTCTCTCTCTCTCTCCTTCCCACTACCCTTCCCCAAACATCTCTTTCCCCAGTTTTAATTTAACTGTCTCTCCTCGAGAAACACACCGTTACTGACGTCCTCCACAGCAGGACCAACGCAACTGCCTCACCCTCCGTTACGTCCTCCCCAGTCCTCGGCAACCTCCCCGAACCAGGCACCAATACCAACAAGACCAGCCGTGCCTCACCAGCCCCCTCACAATCGGGTGCTGCTTCCGGCAACGGGCCGACCACACGCCCTGTTTCATCTCGTGGTCGTCAGAACTCGACGGCCGGCGCCGACAAGCGCCCGCCGTCGTCTACCGCCCCATCAAACAAGAACGGCAGTGTCCCCGGCACGCCGGATCTCAATGGCCAGAGTAACGGCACCAGGACTGCCGCGGGGGAGACCAAGACCGGCGGCAAGAAGGGTGCCGCTGCGTCGAATAAAGCTTCCCCCGTAGAGAACAATCCCGATGGAGAAGAGACACTTGAATTGATGGATGATGCTACTGCTCAAGATGGTGGTGGTGATGATAATAACAAGAAGGATCCGAAACTGGAGCAGGAAGATCAGCAGCAGGATGAGAAGAAGGAGGGTGTTGCTACCGCTGCCGCTGCTGCTGCTGCTGCTGGTGGGACGACGGCAAATTTGACGATTCAGCCTGCTTCTGCTTCTTCGGCTGCGGCTGCTGCTCCTACCTCCGGGTCGAATACGACGATCACGGGGACGAAGACAAAGTCTGGGAGGACAAGTAAGCCCTCTACCCCGGCGATTGGGTCGTTCCCCGATAATGGGGCGTCCGGAGCTGGGATTGGAGCGGTGTCGTCTTCGTCGTCGTCGGCCGGGACGGCAGCGGCTGGGGCGGGCTCTTCGAGGGGCGGTAGGAATTCGAGGAATGGGGAGAATGGTGGGAACGGGGTCGGCTCAGGCGCGAGTAACAGTACCCTGGGGAATGCTGCGGCTGCGGGTGGTGCAAGCGCGAGTGCGTCTGGCAATGGCTCCGGCAGCACGGCTAAGAGGGGTCATAAGAAGGGTACCGCGTCGATTTCCCAGCCTTCAGCTGGCGAAAAGGACAAGGACAGTGACAAGAAAGATTCATCAGCTTCGTCTTCAGGTGGCAGCACCAGTGGAAAGCAAGCCAAGGGTGTTGGTGCTGATGACAAGTCTGACACTGGCAGCAACAAGCAGACGCATGCAGGTGGGCAAAAAGACTACCACCACCACTCTGGAAAGGGTGGTGGCAGCCAGGGGAAGGAGTCTAAGAAACGCAGCGGGAAGAATGCTCAAGCAGCAGCAGCAGCAGCAGCAGCAGCGGTGGCCCATGTCGATCCCGATGGGGATGAAGAGATGCCGGATGCGGAGCAGCAGGGTCATCAACAAGATGAGCAATCGCAAGACGGCGCCGCATCCAATAACAACGGAGGAGGGCATACGTCCACGAGAAGGAGTACCCGGCGAGAAGCGAACCACAATAACAACAACAACAACAGCAACAGCAACTCGCATAACAGCAGTAGTAAATATCAGCAGCAGCAGCAGCAGCAGCAGCAACAAGAGGAGGTGGCAGAGGAAGAGGTGGAAGAAGTAGAAGAGGAAGTGGAGGAGGACGAGCCCCGGTATTGTATCTGCAACGGGGTCAGTTATGGCGAGATGGTCGCTTGTGATGGGGAGGGGTGTCCTAGGGAGTGGTTCCATCTGGAGTGTGTTGGGTTGAGGGTTGCGCCGAGGGTCAATGGTATGTTTACTTTCTCTTTTCTCCTCTCTCTCTTCCTCTCTCTCTCTCTCTCTCTCTCTCTCTCTCTATATTCCATATCCTCTCTCCATTTAACCACCTACCCGAGCAGCGTCTGCCCTGATTAATGGGCGAGTTAGCTTAAGCTGCTCAGAATACTTGGAAGTCGTCCTATCGTTGATGGTTGATATGGTTGATATATGAGTGCTAACTGAGTGTGTCAAAACCAAACAGCGAAATGGTACTGCGAAGACTGCAAGAAACGGTTGAAGATAGGCGAAGGGAGGAGATAAAAGACCAGACCAGTTTCTGCTCCTCATAGCTCATAATTGATCATGGATTGTTGATTATGGGCTGGTCTTGTTTTTTTTTTTTTTCCCTTCTGATCACGACCGCGGTTGACCTCATCAGTGGATGATGAGAGGATTTAAAAAAGAGGGAAGTGCGTGCATAGATGGGATGGATGGATGGATGGGTCGATGGCAAATAAGTTTCATTGGCTTGGGACGTCGGTGGTTATTCATGGGTTTCGAGTACTGCTGCTGCTTGCATGGACGGTGTTTATGTATTTGTTTCTTTCTCTGGTCTTCTGTTTCTGTTGAGTGTAATTTTTTGAGATGAGAGGTCAATCGATCTAGTACTCTGTTTATATGCATTGTGCGCTACTTTTTCTGGTTGCTGCTAGGGCTCTTTTGCTCATGTGTTGGGAGAGAGGGAAAGTTTCGGGTGACAACAAGGGATATTACAGGACAGGTAGGGTAGATGAGACTACGTGTTGCCCACTTTTTCTCTCTGAACATGGAAGATGAGACAGGGTTTGATTCGCTTGAATTTGGGTTTCCAAGCAAGGCATTTTGCGTGGGTGAATACTTGCCTAATCTCCCGATTAATTTAAGCACACTCATTATAATTTAGAATGATATACAAAAACAAAACACAACATGGTGACTAGGTGCCTGTTCCAATTGGCTACCGACACCCATATAGAGAGACACTTAAAGAGACAGACTAATGGTCGACTAAACCACAACACCCTCCCATCTGCGAAACCATCAGGAGAAAGACGCATGCACCGTGGTTTTTGTGTGCAAAATCATCTAAGTAGTCATCGCTTTGAATGCAGGGGGGGGGAGACTGGCAAAAGGGGACGGAGAGTTGCTCGGGAGACTCGAAGTTGTGTTCTCTTGCATCTAGTTGTGGTTGTGAAGGATGGTGTATGGAAATTGGTAGGTTGGTAGTCATGTCAATAGAGAGAAGTTACGAGATAAGAGAGACATGTATCAGTCTAGAAGACTCTTGAAGACTTTTCAACCAACTGAAGAGTTTTTTGACTACCGCACATTTTTGTTTTTACTCGCAAGGCATATGGCAGCTTTTCATGTCCAATTTTCTCTATGTAATCCTATCACACAACCAAAATTGCAGAGCAGAATTGTTATGGCCTCGAATACGAGTCCAACAAAACTCCTCCGGATTCGGTCAAACCTTGCAAAAAAAAAGTTTTCTTTCTCTTTCCATACATTCAGCCCAACCACGAGACAATAGCCTGCTTGCTGAACTGGCTGGGCAGGGACGGGATCATGTGAGCACTCGAGTTTTTTACTTCGGTACGACACAGTTTGCTGGCACAGTGCAGAAAAACTGTGCGGTGAGAGAGAGAGAGAGAGAGAGAGAGAGAGAGCAAAAAGACTTGCGAGCAATAGGCGAGGGGAAGACCCCCTTGTGGTAGTGGTGGTGGTTATCCTGAGTGTTGAGAATCTTCAATCTACGAGAGAGGGAGTGCTTTGAAGTTTACAATGGTTGTAAAAGGCAACTTACAGACAGGACCTGTCGAGCACTGATAAGATATCAACGGTGTCCCCCGTCCCGAGTTCCGTTACACAAACCGGGCTGCCGCTCATAGGCGCCGCGGCGGCAACCCGATAACGAAGCCAAGCTTTTTTCCCGTCATCATCACTGTCGGAGTCGGGATCTACGCCATTCCAAACCGACTTTCCCATAGCCCCCTGTCCTAGAGGATGATTTCCTGCACTTGGATTGGCTGGCGTCATCGGTGGGGTGACGACAGGAGCGAAAGCTTTCTTTTTTCGCCGCCGTCGAAGAGTAAACCATGATGACAACAAAAACATAAGTTTGAAAGGATGCAAGATCGTCGAAAAATCCCCCCTTAGAAAAAAAATGTTTCGATACCCCCAAACCCGCGGGGATTCAGATTTAGCAAGGGTTTGCCTAAACGGTCCTAAACCCGTTCCGGGGGCGGTTGCAAGCGGCTCCTGGAGGTTTGCCTTTTCCTCCCTGCCCCAGACTTCGGTTGACCGAAGCACGCACTGGCCGCATGGCAACAGCCGCATGAGCCGTCAAGAAGGGAGGGGCGGCAACCAATGCCCAGGTGATCAGGCACCACGTGAACAGCATTTCGGATGGTTGTTTTTTGGACTTGAAAAAAAAATAATGTGTTGAATCATGAAAATTTTGTAAAAGTAGAGTAAAAAATAAAAAAGAAAAGAAAAGAAAAGAAAAACGTGTCCCTCTCGGCTTGGCCGCTGCTCTCCCTGCTGCACTGCCCCAGGCCAGAAGAAATGCGAGGGTCTCTCCGACAGCAACAGGCACTGGGTCAACGAAAATGAGCAATCTCATCATCCATACGATGTTGGCCGTGGCATCAGGTGCCGGGTCTCCTCACTGGCAGACAGGACAAGAAGGAGGAGCAAAGGGTTTATGAGTTGGTGGTTGTATTGGGCTGTATGAGAAATACAATACGGGCCGGGAAGGGCAATACGGTTAGCTAAGATTAACGTGCTCGAGCCTATGACATGCGGCGGTCTCCAGGCGACGCAACATCACGCCAGCGGCCAGCAGACGGGAAACGTCAGGCGACGGGCTTGGCTCTGAAGACAAAAGAGACAGGAGACAGCGTTTGCATCATCGCAGGAGGGGGCTCCCATCCATCCATGACGGATCGGGGGCAGGTTAACCTTCCATGAGCAACCAACGGCTTAAAGGGTCTACCACGGTAGCTTGGTGCTGTCTCGACGTTGCGCCATGTAGCACAGGAATTTCGAGGCCGCAAACATGGTCAAATGGCAAGAAACAGTCTCAGCTGCCGGCATCAGCATCTCGCATCGCGAGCCGTGAGCCATGGACCGGAGATGGTGGAGAAAGCAAAGCCATTACGTATGGCGTATGGCTTCAGGCGGATTCGTGCAGCTGTTGTGCCCAGCCATTTGTTTTTTTTTCTCTCCCTCTCTTTGCTGTCCAAGGTTGTTGTACATGGACCGATGATGTGATGGTATGTCATGGAAAATCGGGCTGCTTCTATCCGTAGCATACATGAACAGGACAGCAACAGGTTCTATACCGTCATGGTCGCAGTCAAACGCGACAGGTTCGACAAGTTCGACAGTGGCGAGGTCTCCTCCCAACGGCGATCGACGGGTGACGTAGGCTGTCCAATCGCTTCAATCACACTTAGGGCCCGCTGGAAAACGTCAGCGATGACAATCGCGCTTGTGCTGGCTCTTGCAGTGACACATCAGCGTGGTCGGGCCAGGCACGCCAGCAACATCGCGGGCGACTTGACAGCTAGGGGGGCAGCTGGGGAATATATTCCACAATGCTAGCATAACGGATGGTAAGGCGGTAACAATGTAACATAAGGATGTAATTTACAGCACCAGGTGACCAAAAATTTTGGGCCTTCGACAGGCGATGCGCTCCACTTTTTTCTTGGAATAGCGTCGCAAAGAAACACGAGAGGGAAGCATTCGTGGCCGCAGAGACTGCAGATGCTGCATGGACAACGAGACAAGCTGAGATTTTGAGTTAGGCCGGATCCATCCGGCCTAGATGACGCCCCATCCGCCTCCGCATCGGTGGGGATGGTTTGCTGCAACCACTCCGTCGGAGCGGCCGTGCCCAGATGCCCAGAAGCGTAGCAGAGAGTCAAGAATTGGCCCAGGTGACACGACGTGACAAAGGCTGAGCCGGGCTCGCCATCGGCAAGGAACGACGAAATATTTTTCGAGCTGGCATGCGAATTCGGACCTCCTCGGCGATCCTGGTGATGGTATTTATTGCAGCGAAGCCGGGGTTTGGCTGAAGAAGAGCTTCAGATTTCCCAGCGAGTGGTACCCGGTACCTTGTTTTGGTTTTTTTTTTTGGGCCCTGTGCAAGCACCGAAAAAAAAAAAAAACCAAGTATTGCCATTGTCATTGCAATCTGCAGTCTGGTTCTGGAATAAGAAAATCGTGGAATTCCAGGCCATCTGACGACCAAACGACATCATCCCATTGCATCAACGGCATTGCGGAGAGAAGACGACACGGGACGATTAAGCTCTCTCTCTCTCTCTCTCCATCCAATTCATCCATCGATAAATATTCCATATTAGGTATTACTACTTACCCGACTGGCTGCACTGCTGCCGTCATACCCAACAGCGACACCAGGCCGTGTGATATATGCCCAGCAGCAAACTGACGGATCAAGATACAAACAAAGCTCCCCCGCATCACGGCATCGGCCTGGACATCTCGAGCCGCATCGACCAACGGCAATCGTCGACGACCAGTGCTAGCGACGCGAATCTCGGAAATTTATCACCAAACAAAACGTACTCGCAGCTGCCAGCCAAGCAGCCAGTGAGTGACGAGTCGAGCGTTGACGTCGACGAGCATCATCTGCATTACCATCGCCAAGCATCGTCACCTCTCGAACAGCCCATCCAAATCAAACAATTCCAAGCACACACACCAAGCGACACCAAGCGACACCCAAGCTCGCCTTTCCCCGCACAGCCGTCCTGCCAGCTTTCCTGTTACCTAACCAGTCGCCGCCTTGACTAATAGCAACACGCCAGCCGGCTTCCGCAGCGGTCCCCGCCTGGCTTTGTGAGACCACGGGCTGCCCTTGTTGAGAGCCTCTCACACACTCTCCCTGTCGCCATCGCATTCCTGCATCGCGCACCTGACCGTTTCCTGCGCCCAAGCACATCAGCAGGGCTTGCTGGCATCCCCAGACTGTCCAAACGCAAACGGCTAACCGCCCAATTCCCCCCTTACCTTCCCCCTCCCCCCCCCCTGTTGACCTCCTCGGGTGCGCGTTCCCAACCCCAGGCCCTAGACTCCAGCCCGACAACCTGACCCCCGACCCCGACGGCCCCGACATTCTGTGCATCCACCTGGGGGGCCGTTCATGTTCCTCTTGTCCACTTCCACACCACCCCTGTCCCCGTTTCGGATGCTACTTGAACCAAGGTCCCCAGACTACAAAGCCACCATGCCCGACGACCATGCCCAGGCTCCCCAGTATGTCCGGGCTTCCACGCCGGACCGCGTCTCGCGCTCATCCTTCTCTTCAATCCGCGAAAACGACTGCATCCTTGCGCAGACATTTTCATCATCCAAGATCTCTTCCTACTACACCCTCGACTCCTCCGACGACTATTCCAGCGCCGACGAGGCCGCCGTCGACCTCCGCTCGCGCAGTCCTAGCCCTGACGCCGACGTCCTGCAACTGAAGAGCAGGAAGAGAGTTCGGATTACCGACGGCCACAACAATACCCAGTCCGATCACCAACAACAATATCAACAACAAAGACAACAACAACAACAGCAACAACAACAACAAAACAATCCCGAGAGTACCACACAACCATACAAGGGTACCATGATCCAGGCTCAGTTCCAACCTCCCATCACCAACCCCCACAGCAAGCTCCTGGGTTATTGGACTCCCGCAGAGTCCTTCAGGGGCTGGAAGGGCATCGAGGTGAAGGGCAAGCTCGCCAGCAAGAGCTTTGGCGATCTCCAGATCCTGCACCATGTCTTCTCCCAGCCGACCCCCAGCCAGCGGGCTGGTGCCAAAGGCAAGGAGCAGAACAAGGGCGTGAACAAGCCAGGCCAGGCGCCCATCGAGAGGTTGCCGCCTGAGATTTTGAGTATGTTTCCCCAATCTCGACGGTTGACTCCGTGCCGTAATGAAGGATGTATGCTGACTCGCCGACCCTCCTAAGCCTCCATCATAGAGCTCCTCGCCCTCGACGTCCCCCCCAACGGTGTTACCCGCCGTAACGTCGACCTCATGTCCCTGCTCCTGACCTCCAAGACCCTGCACTACGCAACCCTCACAACCCTCTACAGCAAAATCACCATCCCACACTCCCGCATCTTCCGCAAATTCCTCAACCACGTCGCCGCCCACCCTACGCTCGGTACCATCGTCCGCCGCCTCGACTTCTGCCACTTCAACCCGGGCCAGCTCTTCTTGACAGCCGCCGAGCGCTCGCAAGCTCGCAACTTGACGTCTGAGACGTTGCTCCAGTGCCTTGAGCTCACCCCCAACCTGCAAGAGTTCCTCGCCCAAGAGTACATCGACGATGACCTCAGCGAGGCTGTCCTCCGCAAGCTGTTCTTGGGTCTCCCCCGCATCAAGGCCCTCGATTTCTGCGGCTGCACGTCGGCGAAGTTCAAGAACGCTTTTAGTGCCGCCATCACCGGGCCCGACTGGCCCGTGGCGCTAACTATTAGGCGTCTCTCCTTCCACAAGTGCCTTACCCTCCCCTCGAGCGTGTTTGAACACATCTTGCCGCGCTGCCCGCGCCTCACGCACTTGGATGTCGCCGGGACGAGGGTGACGGATGCAGCCCTGCATAGCATCCCCGCCTCGGCGCGCATCACGCATCTCAATCTCGCCAAGTGCACTCTCTTGTCCGCGAGAGCGGTCATCGACTTTTTGGCGCATCACCCCGCCGCGCGGGAGCTTGTGTTTTTGAGTCTAGCGACGGATGCGCGCTCGCATGAGCTGTTTGATGCCGAGCACGTGTCTGAACTGCTGCCCCTCCTCCCGCCGACGCTGAAGAGTCTGAGTTTGAAGGGCGCCCGCATGGAGAAGGAGCATATCAGGGGCTTGAGGAGGCTGAGCAAGCACCTGGAGGAGTTGGCGGTCGGTAGGGGCTTGACGTTGAGCGACGTGAATCGGCTTTTTGTGCCGGATGAGCCGGCTTCTGAGGGCGAAGCGGTGCAGATGCAGCTGGATTGGGTGCCGCACTCGCTAAGATATATTGATCTCTCCGACTTCTGGGGGACGGAGCTCGATCTGGTGTATCTCGTTTCTTCCTCGGAGTGTGCCATCCTCAAGTCGTTCTCGGAACCCCTTGAAGTTGTCGAGCTCGCGGAGGATGTGTTCCGGCGGGTTAGCAAGAGCGGAGTGGCGCATAGCTTGCAGCGCATGGGATGGCGGTTGAGCGAAGTGGGGAGCAGAGGATGGATCGTGAGGGATACGAAGGGCAAGAAGAGAGATGATGGACGGAGGAGGTGGAAGATGGGTGCGGAGAGTTGGGGAATGAGGAAGATCCCTGTGGCGAGGGCTGAGGTCGGTGGGATGTATGGGAGTTTTATGTTTGGGAGGAAGCTTTAAAGCT